TTTGAGATTCAATATCTTTATGCTATTTATCGATCTTAATATATTGTGTTATAATATTATGTTAAGAAGTTAGAATTATTAATTTATAATTTCGTAATTTCTAAAATTTAATATTAAAATTTATTTATATATATATANTGTATTTTAACATTATAATATAACATAATAAATGTTAGTATAACATTATATATATAACATATAATTTACATCGAAATGATGATATGCTTCATTTTATTAATATTATTCTTCTATATTAAAAAAAATATTTTTTTTATTGCGATTTTAATTAAAATTATTAACGAGGATCAACCATACTAATATTTAAATAATAAAACATATAATATTTTATCATAACATCATGAAATTTTTAGAATATTATATTAATTAAGAATTTAGAGTTATATTTTATTTAAAAATTAGCTTAAAAAATTAAATTGTAATAATATTAAAAGATTCTAGTGTGAAAATGATCAGATTTATTAATTGAATTTAAAGGAAATGCAATATAATTGGAATATTATTTTGTGTAAAATGAATAAGAAATTATTGCTGTTAATAATAAATAAAATAATATATAAATAAAATTGTAATAATTGTAATAATAAATAAAAAATATAATAAATAATAAATAAATAAAATTATAGAATAACTAATAAATTATTATATTTCAAATTTTGAATAATAATAAAAAAATATAAAGTACTTGAAATTTTGGTTTAATTTAAAAAAAGTGCAAAATAATATAATTTCATTAAAATATGAATAATTTGAAATATCGTAATTTTGCAAAAAAAAAAATATTTATTAAAATTAAAATTTTTAATAAAATTTTTTTCTCTATTGTTACTTAATCAACCATAATTTCTCAAAATCTTCGTCAAGAATCATATCGTTACAAATGTACCAATATATAACCAATCATTTTATTTAAAAATTAATTAATTAATTTTTTTATTTAATGTGAACATTATAGAATATTCTATTATTAGTATTTCAAATTAAGTATTTCAAATTATCTTCATCTTCAATAATCCGAATTGGCAAAAATTGTATCAGATTAATATTCTCAGAATATTACAAAATTCATTAAAACTATAAAATTAAAATGAATAAATTAAATAATTTAAAGTTCTGATCATATTTATGATTTCAATGATTAAATATTTATTGAAAAAATTTGTAAATTATTTTTCAAATTTGTAAATTAAATTTTCATTGATAAATAATAAAAATACTAAAATTACAGTTTTTACAAATTTCATTAGTTAATTTTATTAGTTAGATCATTTACACTTACTATTTATGATGTTATAAATTAAATAATATTAGTTCTTTAGATATCTAGTAGTATAGTATTTTAATTTTAATTTAATATTTCAGTTCTTCTATATAAATGTTTTCTGTAGAAATATATCGAATTATTATAAGAATTTTGAAATAATTAATATTAGTGTTACTTTTAAACATAAAAACGTGCAATTAAATTTATCGATGAATTTAATACATATGAGAGATCAGATATAATTTGATTCGCTATTTAGCAAGTGAAAATATTAAATTAAACATTCACTTTTTAAGACAAATCGAAAGAAACTTAAAGAAATAATTATAATTAACAAAAATTATAGAGAAATAAAATGAGCGAAAATTATTATTTTTATTCAATTCTAATTTTTTAAATTTTTTTTAACTTTATAATGTTCATTTTTTTAATAAATATTAATAATAATATTATTTATATACATTAATTTATTTATATACATTAATTTATTACATATTACATAATAATGAATTCTATACATTTATATAACATGCATATATATATATTTATTTGCTATATATATATTATATACTTATAGAATTATATCAGTATATTATTAATACATGATTTACCATATTATATGATATTATACTATTAGGTATAATATTATTAGATAAATTATTATACTGTATGAAATATAGAATTGAATGTATTTGACACAAAATTTAATTTAATTTAAATAATTTAATTTTTAAGTACTAAATGAAAAAAAATAGTATATTTTGTGTATAATATTATTCGTAAATAGAAAAATATTTAAGAGATAATATAAAATTTATTCAAATTGAAATGGATTAAATAATACTAATAATATATAGTTTATTTAAAGAAAAATAATTGTTGATTTAGTAATGAAATAATTTAGTAATAGTATCAAAAACAAATTATTTTTATATGTATATTAAATTCATTGTTCATTATATTCAATTTTAATTAAGTTTCATTTTTTATTTCTTTCTAATTATTAGAGAATTTGTTATATATATATTAGTTATTTATTTAGTTATTATCTATTATATTATCTATTATAATTAATAAAATATATTATAATTAATAAAAAATAATTAATAAAAAATATTATCTATTATAATCAATATATAATATTTTCATTATTTTAATTTTAATAATTTTCATGTATATTTATATTTCTAAAATTATTTTTATATTAAAATTAATATATTCGTAATTAAAAAAATTATTCAAATTAAATCATATTGTAAATATTTTCACAAGGAAATATCTTTAAAAAATTTGCATCACGCCAACGCATGATTGTTTCATTGGCATTTACTTTCGCTATCGATTTACCAATAATATCGGCCAATTTGTTAATTTATTTAAATGTCGAATGAAATCTATCTATTATATTATATTAAAAAAGAATCGATTATGTTTCAGGAAATAATAGACATAAAAATAAATTTAAATTATTATACTTGATATTATTGATGAAAAATGAAAATATATATATGCATATCATATATATTCATATTGCGATATAACCTTGAAGATGACAACTATGATAAATAACCTCTTATAATGTATCAACTTTTTTTCATGATATGTTTTTTATGATGTTCTTATTCGTAAATTTGAAAATATTTATAATATAATAAATGTAAGCAAATACTTAACTTGTTTTTTTCTATTAATTAATAAAGTAAAATAAAAATTTAATATTTTTAAAATAAGAATCAAAATACGAATACTAAGATTAATTAATTAAGTAAATGAAAAAAGATTTAAATTGTAGAATTGTAATAGCAATAATAGAAATACTTACTTTAATTCACGACGATCACCTTTGAAATCTTCTGGAATGAGAGTATGTGTGACCTTGTTGATCTTTCTAGGTAAAAGTTTATTTACGTTGAACTTGAACTCCATCTTAAGTTTTTTATTGCGTCAGTTTTACTGATTTTTATGCGTAATAATATGTTCAACGCACAATCCTTAACCTTTCGACACTCTTATCACTTCACCTTCTAACTTTTTTTTCGAAACTGTCTCGGACGACTGTCCTGAATATGGCGGTCAATGACATCCACCGAGCTAACTTCACTGCGTATTTTCCGGGGGAATTATGATATTTTAATTTTGTATTTCATAATATTATTCGCGTCACAGCAAAATATAAATATTAATCATCGAATGATTGTTTATTATCTAACACTCTCACAGTCACTTGAATTCTCTTGTTGTCACGTATTTTATACTATGATAATTACTATTTTTGTTTCTTGATATCACAACCTTGTACTATGATATTTAATTCATAATGAAATCTGTGTTATATTTTTGATAATACAATAATAACCTGCATTTTTGATGATGACAAATACTCATTAGACTACACGATTTCTCAAATCGATTAGTCTTGCATGAATACCAGATTTACTTCGTGATTGGTAGCTGACTAATATCCATGGCTGTTGTGATGTTTTTTTTTCACTATTACGACTAATAATAAATTGCAAGAGAAATTAGATATGTATATGTAATATGTACCGTCGTATATTTGATAATTTGACAGTTAACCGATAATAATGATCAAAGTGACTAAAATCTTTCGGAAAAGTAAGTAATTTCGATGAATAATTGTATGTTAAAATATTCGATGATACAATTAAAAAGAAAAATTTAATAGTCACACAACATTTCACCTGACGAATCGCTGGAAGTCTCACAGTTTACTGGCGAGTGGTACGTTCAATTTTTTCCTGAAAGCCGCGAGTCGCGCCGAGATGCGCACGCACCTGAGAGCTACGAAGCATGACTACAGACATGTCGACATTTGCTACGCATGCGCAAATATTCTTGTTTTCATAAAAATAATCGTAAATATGTTTATCAAATTAACAATTTGATAAACATACAAATTTATTAATTTATCAAATTAATAATGTAATGAAAATTATTAATATCGTATTATAAATATATATAATTTAAATATGATAAATTTAATTTATAATTTAAGCATTGTACATTTTTAAAGATTAACTAACTAAACTATTTTATGTGAAAGATTATATTTTATAATATATATACTATCTTTATACTTATCGTTTTATATTTCTAAAATTAACTTAATGCTAATCGATTAATTTCTGTTTATTTCGATTTTATTACGTATTTTATTATATAATTCTTTTTATGAACACTAGATGTCGGTAAAACATTGGTATAGCCAATATACAGGGTGTTAATATATTCGTGTGATACTTTTGAAAAATCGATTCTAGAAAAAATAAACATAAAAATTGGTATAAAAAATATTAATTAAAATTTATTTATTAAGTTACAAGCAATTGAAATTTCTAGTAAATAAAATAAGATAAAAATAAAATGAGATCACTCTGTTTCTGTTATACCGCCGCCATCATAGTCTATTATTTTTATCTTCATTTTACACAAACGTATAACTTTTGTTTATTTTGATCTTTAGGATGAATATTAACAGTCATATTGCATTTAAAAAAATGAATTGATAAAAATGTTAAGTTGAAAAGAAATAAAAATCGATTTTATTTATAAGATTTAAATATTAAATATAAATATGTTTTATATTTAATGTTTTATATTATAAAAATATTGATATAATTATTTTTTTTTAATTTTTATCTAATCAATATCGGTATCTAATTTCTACATTCTAAATTATAAGATTTAATATCTAAGCATTTTATATTTTAAAATTAAAAAATAAAAATATTTTTAACAAAAAGTTTATTTATTTATATATTTAAAATTTGATAAATAAATATTATTTATGATGAATATTTCATAACAGTTAAATAAAATCATTTTAATTTTTATTAATAATATAAAATTTTATGTTAAAAATATGAAACAGGAAATATATTCAATGTTAATAAAAATGGATATAATTTACATTA